AAACAAATATGTTGCAGTGTTCCTCTGCGCAGAACGCTAACGTGTCCCAGGCACAAGCAGCAGCTTCAGTAGCGCAGAGGAGCACCTCATGCGTTTATAAGCTTAAAACCCTACAGTGTAACATATTGGGTTTTCTAAACATATTGTTTTACATCATTACATAATGCACAGGGCCAAAGGCTGACTTAGGTTCAACTTGAATGGGCCTGTTTACCGAATGAAAAAGAAAATATAATGTTATATGCATAAATATGGGTTGATACATTGCTCTTGTATAACCTGACACTGATTTTTAGTTCTCTGAGCTGATACCTTTCTTTATAGATCTATTCACCATGTTTTGACAGCTAATTTAATTCCTTTATAAATGTCCCAGATGGTTTTAGGAAAAGGGTGGAACCATTCATGGAAAATATAACCTCTGGACACAGCAGAGACAATATGTTTAAGATGTAATTGCTTTTTAAATACAAAATGTATCTTTACTAAGATTTTGCTGAACTTCAAGTAGTTATGTTGCATTTGGCAACAAGAAAGCAGAAAGTTCCAGGGAGAAATAAGAAATGTAATGAGCATTTCATATTGATGCTAATCGAACATACTGATAACACCACGCAGATCTCTTATTTACATTAAGTAACACCCACAGTTGTCAATGGGCCAGTGAAGTGAAGAAGAGAGACAGATGTAGGAGAGAATATAGTCACAGCTAGAAACAGCCCAAGTAGCAGATTCAGCTATTGAAAAGAGAGAAAACTCTTCCTGAACTGCTCAACAGTTACCTAAGAGGTACATAACCAGAGTTACGCCGAGTTACATTTCTTCTGTGTATTAGGACTAGTACAAATGAGGTCTCCAAAACAAACAAACAAAAAAACAAACTGCTTTCCAATCTCCTCTCATCTTCTGTGAAACAAGAGCTGATCTGTACGAAAAGCTTCCACAGACCAGGACCTAGTAGCTACTGCGATCAAGTTACGTTATCAAGAAAAGAGAACTCTCTGGTCAACATTTTACTTCATGTTTTCTTTGCAAAAAAGTACAGTAATACAGTTCCAATGTGTAAATGTTCAAGGAGACAGAAAAGGATCTATTTTCTAGTGTTAACTGTAATTTTTAAACCAATATCTGATGCCAGACTACGCTGTTACTAAGTACTCATTAATTAAATTTCAGGTTATTTGCTTTCACTATAAGTTTATCTTCCTAACTTATACTTTGTTATCCTTAAAAACAAAGCCAAAAACAATGTAGAACAAGGAAAAGGAACACAATGAAAAGTAATTATGTGATTTACTTCTGCACATTCAGTGACTATTCCATAACACATATTTCTATTTCTCCCAGTCTTGTAGCTTTGAATAGCAGCCTCTTGCTAAGCAGAATGAAAGTGTTGTTCTTTAGGAAGTGTAGCATTTGACATCTAGTCAGCCAATAAAAATCATGTGCAGGTTGCCATTTCACCTGTTTTCTTTTAGGTGTCTATGTATTTGATATTAAAAGCTTGAAAATAGCATAAACTGCCTTTACTATGAACAATTCTTTTAACTCATAAAATTATTCTCTGTCAAATACTGAAAGTATGCAACATGCCTATAAGAGAATTCTCTTCTCTGGAAGTGTTTTATTTTTATGGAAGATAACAGTTTAAAGTAGAATCACTAATAAACCAATCTGGGTGGAAAACCAATAAAATTAGACTAAATGTGAAATGAGGTGTCTTTTGACACAAAGGTTCTTGTACTGTGATGGACGACACCAATAAAATTATATTTAACAACAAGTGATAAGTATGTTCTCACAGCATTTTTGCTGTACAGGACACAGAAGTAGAACTCAGATGCAGCTGTGCTGAAATTAGGACTTTCAGCTATAGCTGGAAGAAAAAGGAATATATATATAGTTACTATCCACTGGATACATTAAGTGTAATGGGCACAGCTGTACATGTATACCATCTTCCCCTTAAACAGAAATATTTGACAAATTCTATGACAAAAATAAACATTTCTTTCTGTGGATAAGTTTTTAGGAAACCATGTTCTACAAGCCCTAGGAATGAACCCTGCAAGGAAGGACTTGGAGGTATTGATGGATGAAAATTTGGACATGAGCCAGCAATGTGTGCTCACAGCCCAGAAGGACAGCCATACCCTTCACTGAAAGAAGCACATTGAGAGAGCTGATTCTCCCACTCCACTCCTTTCTTACGAGACCACACCTGCAGTACTGTGTCCAGCTCTGGGGTCCCCAGGACAAGAGAGATGTGGGCCTCTTGAAGCAGGACCAGAGGAGGGTCACAAAACTGATCAAATAGCTGGAACCTCCTCTAGGAGGACAAGCTGAGAGATTTGGGATTGTTCAGCCTGGAGAAGAGGAAGCTCCAGTGAGACCTTACTTCAGCTTTTCAACATACAAAGCAGGTTTATGAGAAAGATGGCAAAAGACTTTTTACTGGGCCCTGAAGTGACAGAAGAAGGGTTAAGAGTTTTAAATTGAGAGAGGGTAGAATGAGTTGGACATAAGGAAGTAATTTTTGATGCTGAAGTTAGTGAGACAATGGAACAGGTTTCCTGGAGAAGTTATGGATGTCCCATCATGGGAAGTATTCAAGGTCACATTGGCCTGGCTTTGAGAAAAACAATCTAGTGAAAGATGTCCCTGAGTGTAGCGGAGGGGTTGGGCTATATGTTTTTTAAAGGTCCCTTCCAGCCGAAACCATTCTGTGATTCTATGAAAGCCATATTCACAGAGCTCAAAAGTCAGACTGGGGAGCACCAGTTTGATGCCCTGTATACCGCTGACCTTGCATTTTCCATATCTTAATTATTACAGCAGTTCTGTAAGAAAAATATTAACCTGTGCTTAAAGATTGCTAGTGACTAGAATTTATAAGTATTTTGTAATTGCTCTTACTTTAAAACAGGCCTTTTATTCTAGTTTAAACCTGACAGTTGAAGTTTTAGACTTCTGCTTTGTGTTTGTCATCTACAGTAAAAAAACCCAGTTTCTAGACTGTGATTTGTCATTTATAAATGAAAATGGACTTATTCATCCTTCAATGAACTTAAAAACACATGTTTTCTATTTTTGTTATTGGTTTTCTTCTGAATGTTCCCCAGTTGATCTTCTCCACTAATATCTGTGAATAGCAGAAATCTTTCAAATAAGATTAGCACAAATGCTAAATAAGTACTACTACAGCTTCTGTATTTAAGTATCTTCTGTTCATATATCCAACAATTCTGACACTAGAATTTGCACTGGAAACTTTTATTTAGTTAATTATGTTTGCATTCCTAGATTTTGTTAAAGTTACATCTCCCACAATGGACATCTCTATTCCATAAAAGCAGCAGTTGTGATTTCCATTCCTATAATATTCCCATGGATTGTATTAGACTACAATAGAATCCTAGAAATAGAATTTCATGCAATGCCAAATAAGTTGTCTTACAGAAGTTTATTACATTTATATCAATACCTAATCAACCAAATTTAAAATGTCACTAAGAGAAAGTTTGGCAGGGTAGTTTCAGATAGCCTGATTTCTACAAACTCACTATGATTGCCAGTATTTTATCGTTTTTCTGTATCTTCATAATTTAAAAAAAAAAAAAATTGGATCTTCCATTAATCTGTTTCAGATTAATTTCAGTTTTTCTTGGAGTTTTTTGAAATTTTTTTTGTTCCAAAACTTTCTTAGAATCAGCATTAACTCCTAGAGACCAAGTCCAGAGGGTTTCATATTGAATACTAATATAACTAATATAACTATCTGGAATAAATATCACACCTAGTATGTACAAATTCTCTTCTTCCAAAAGAATGAATGCTAAAAAGTTAAAAAAGAAAGTAAACATGAAAAGCAGCAGATGTTTTGCATAGAAGTCTTGTGGAGCCCATCTTTTGTTGCTTTGAATTTACAAGACTGACTTAAGCAGCATTCTACTGCACTAAACTGGACACAATTCATTCACAACAAAAAAAGCAATATGTTAATATAATTTCTTCTAACTGCACTCGTAAGTTTAAGACTACTTAAAAGATCTAATATGAGTCTAAATTCCCAAAGTCTCCAGTCTTTTTAGATTAAAAAGGTTTCATTTATTAAACAAAAATTTTGTGTAAAACTAGATTTCTGAAATTCTACATTATATACACTTGCGTAACTATATATAAACAGATCATTAAATAGCAAGCAACAGAACTTGGAAAATTTCAATAATGTCCACAAAATCTCCTAACCTGAAACCATTAGTAGAAAACCGATATCATTTTGCCGAAATTACTCGCTCATGCTGCTTAGTGCTTAAAATCTTATTTTACACGTTGCTTATTACGAGACTGCTTAGCACACAAGTTTCAGTCATGTTGGTAGCTGAATTTGTGAACAGGTAAGAGCTTAAAATATGCTTAAAAAAACAGCAGGATTGCTATAATTTCCATATATGAAGTTGCTGAAACTTAACTAAACTGAAAATCCAGAGGAGGATGGCTTCTTGAAGAACAACTGTGTATATGTTTGCACTTTGAATACTGTGAAGGACTAAATGGGTTATTTGGTCTTAAGAATACAACAAATCACAGTACTTTTTAAATTAAACCTCTCCCACTTACAAAATCAGACTTCTATTTAAAATGACAATTTATGTTTCCCTGTTTTAACTACACTGTACAATGCCTTCATCCCTGTATCTATGTCTGTGTATACTTTATTAACAGCAAATATTTATTTTCAGTAAGTCTATATGCAAATTAGTGGCTGTAACTGAGAATAAGTAGGTTGATTTAAAATGTGAAACAGCATCCTGTGAAGGCTCTGTTGCTCTTTTTTTTATCTCTAGTTACTGGAAGAAACTAGAGCAACAAATGAAAAAAAAACCAGTATTATTATTTTGAAGTGCCTCTGGACATCTATGGTTTCCGGTGTTTTCTGCTTGGCTGGTTAAAAATAGATTTATACTGACGTTCACTAGTGATTTAGAAATTTTTGTTCTTCAGAGTTGAAGACTGAGTAACACTTTCGTAGTGTAGGAAGGAGTAGAATCTGTAAAAAGAAAAAAAATCCACCTCAGACTTCATGACTTCATCTATGTAATCTAATACAAAAAAAATGGAACCCTTATTTAGAAAGAGCTTGTTTTGGTTTTATTTCAAAGGTACTCTGATCCATGCACTCTCTTTTAGAAATTCTACTGACTCATACTATACAGAATGTATTCTGCCTCAAGTCTGTTTTTCAAATGAAGGTATTGGCATAATCTGAAGCACAAGAGTTCAGAAGCAGGAAATCCAAGAGAAATTCATGATCCAACTTCATTATAAAAAACATGGAGATAAGTTTTGTCTAGAAAGGCAGAAAAGCGTATGCCTGAGCTGCTTTTCCCGAAAGGAGTAGCTCTGGCCTTTGTTTGACTGGGCCAAATACAGGTTTCAGGCAGCCTGTATATAGACCACTTAAATAAGATGCAAGGAATGAAAATACAGCATAAGTGTCATTCCACAGAAATTCTTTCCTACACATAAACCCTCAAGGAGATTTAAACAGAGCCCATGGGGTACTTTGATTGACAGTTACTTAATTATGACAAATATTAGGCAGAATACCAAAGTAAAGTAGTACATAAACTTTCAGGTGCTGGGCAATAGAGACAAAAAGAGTGATTTGACTACAATAATTTTACAGTGGTTAAATAATTAGTATGTTGATATGGATACATCATTAATGAAAGTTCTATCAATGCAAGGAACTTTTCATATATACACTGTTTCCCTTTGAGGAGCAGAAGCATTTCTGCAGGAATTCAAATTCACTAATGTTAATCTCAAGAAAGGCAAGTAAATCTGGAGAATTAAGATAATCACTGCATATATTATCATTGAATTAAGGCTGATGCATGTACAAACACACCATTAATTTTGTGTACGTTAGTTCAATATCAAGTGTCATAGTTTGGGCCCAAACTTTTAGCGAAATGCATTCAACATTTTCACTTTTAGTCTTATTTAATATCACAACAGAAAATTACTGTTTAAGAGTATCCTGCTGGTACTCTTAAAAATTAGTATTCCCAATATATGTCTGCATTTGTATTCAAGATAGCAGGAAGTTTACTGCAACACATACCCCTTTCCTTTAGGTCTTCAATGTATGCTTTCATAAAATCTTTCTCAGATTGCTCCCGTTCACGTTCACTTTCTATAATTTCTTCAGTGTCTTTGCATACAATGGTTTCAACTGGGCTGTCCTTGAGACTTATGAATCTAGAGAGAGATTAACACAAGAACATATGCAATAGGCTTCTGAACTTCACTGACCAATATGAATGACATGTCAGAAGTTACTACTACAGCCAGAAGTGGAAATGTAAAGAACATTTGCTCAGTTTTTGCGTTATGGCATTGTTAGGATCCGCCAATTATTAGAAGTAAAGATTTTAAATGGCACCTTCTCTGTACGCCACTTTCCATATAAAAATGATCAGATTCATTTCTTTTCACATAAATCATTCTTTGCAACAGCAAAGAACGGAACTTCTGACAGACTACACTGTAATTTCTCATCTGTTACTCTGCAACATAAACTCCACCCTAATAGTATTGCTTAGAAATCTGAAATTTTACAAGTATCACTTAGATGACAATATGCATCTCTATTTTTTGGGTTGTTCTGTTACTTCTCTTTTACAGTGCACGACCAGCCATGCACTATGTTGTATTTGCAAATTTCCTAAATCTAAATATCGCAAGTGAAGAACTAGATGGTTACATAAGCAACTTAGTGTGCAAATTAAGTGCACATCATTCTGAAAATTTCTAATGATATTGCCACTCTAAGAAGGAAAAAAAATCAATAAAATTGTTACTTTCAAAAGAACAAATCTTCCAACAAACATGTTTTGTTTTCTTTAAAATCTCATGAATTACTGTGAGTATGTGATCGGTTGGCCTTGGCTGGCCAGGTGCCCTCCAAGCAGCTCTCATTTCGCTTCTCAGCAGAATAGAATGTGAACACAAGATGAAAAACTTGTATGTTGACTTAAAGAGAGCTTAATGAAGAAAAGAAAAAGCCATGCACAGCAACAAAGCTGACCAACAAAATTCTTCTCGACTTCTCATCAGCCATGCCCTGGGAAGCAGGAACTCAGTATGTGTAACAGTTTATTTGGAAAACAAACTCCTTAGTTACAAATGACCCACCTTCCTTCTTTCTCTTAGCTTTTATTGCTGAGCATGATATCATATGGTATGGAATACCTCTCTGGTCAGTTTGAGTCCCAGCTATGTGCTCTCCCAAATTCACGCTCATACTCAGCCTACTGGCCTTTGTGGGAGAAGGTTGAGGAGACAGTCTTGATGCTGTCTTCAACAGTAGTGAAAAAACCCTGGTAATCTACACACACCTTTCTAGCTAGTACAAGGCCCAGCACTTGGAAACGCACTATGGGAAAATCAGAGCTACTATGACCAAGCCTGCACAGGAAGAGCAGTTTTAGTCACGCAGATGCACAGGGTGTGGAACCAGCAAATGAAAATCAGAAAACTGCGGCTCCTCTGCAACACCCCATCTCTCTAGCACCTCCTTAAAGTTTCTGATATAAACTGTGTTAGAATTTGACCATGAGATATAGTAGAAACAGATGCTTGTGAGAATATTTCTCCTTATCTTCCTTACAACATATTCCTTTCTCTCTCACTTTTACTTACTTTAAACCTGTGGTTGACTCACAGACTGCTGTGGGTATCTCCACCAGGTCATCACCACTGACAACTAGCAAACTGAGCTTTGGCATATTGACTAGAGCTCGTGGAAGATACGTCAACTTGTTTTTCTGTAGGAGAAGTGTCTGTAGTTGATCTAACCTGCAAAAATATAGGAGATAAAGATAACTTAAAATATTTATTTAAGACAGAAACATCTATGTAAAATAGCAATGCAGACTAATCTTGTGTAAAAGAGGAACAACTACAAGCATCATCTCTGGCTTCTCAGAATTACTCATACCACACTTTCACAAATTGTTTTCAGCTTTAATGGAAATATCCAGCCATAATTCAACATTACAGATATTAATAGCATGCTTCTGATGAGTACTCAGAAGCATGACTAAAATGTTACAAAAATTCATAGAATCATAGAATGGCCTCAGCTGGAAGGGACCTTAGAGATCATTTAATCCAACCTCCCTGTCATGGGCAGGGATGCCCCTCAACTAGATCAGGCAACACATGGGGACCGAATAGGGATCAAACCCACAACCTTGGTGTTATCAGGACCACGCTCTAACCAACTGAGCTAACCAGCCCCCCGTTACTGTGCTTTCATACAGAAGTTATTGACAGAACATGATATAAAGCCTCACCATGTGTATCCCAGAACTAATGAAAAATATGGGTCAACAGCTCATAACTTTGTCCATACGCTGGTTTCTATGAACTACATACGTACATGACAGGTAGCATACTCTGATTTATTGTTTTCCACTAGTAATTAGTACTGTGGGGAGCAAAAGAAAGACCAGCTTCTAGTCATATGGCTCTTCCAAGCTGTCCCACTGAAATCAATTTAGTGGCAGTGGCCATGTTTTGTGGAGGAAGGTATTCAGTTTCTTTTGCTTTATTTCCCCTGACTTTTCCTAATGCAATAGTAATTTGTGGCTGAGCATTTACTCCTTATATATATAGCAAATATCAAAAATTATATATATATATTTTATAACACCTATTTAATATATATGGGTGCATGGGTGTATGTATGTATCTCAAACTGATGAAATGTTGGAGATTAAAATAGTTTATTTGTGGAATATTGGAAATAATTGGGGGATTGCTTAAAATTACAATGAATCACAACTAGTTTTGTCTTATGAGTGACACTGTTTATCATGAGTAGCCAGACTTACTGAGGCCTTAGGCCCAGAGTGTGGACTTTTACGTAAGTACTGATTAACTTGGGCTGAAGAAAGGCCCAGAAACCAATGTCAATTGAGAAAAATAAGATCAATAGAAACTGCATCCTCGAGATAAATTATACACACTTGGAGTAAGAGAAAGTATCCAATGAGGAACAAGAAGACCAAGATCCAAATATTACTACTCGACTGAACCATCCTGGGAGGGGAGGTGAACTTGGATTGTAAGGGTATAATTGCCCAGTGATTTCTTTGTTCAGGGTCCCTCTCTGAGGGTCCCAGCTCAAGCTGGAATAAACTAACTCTGTGACAGAACCCAGGGTCTGACCTTCTCCTTACATTTGGGGGCTAAGATTGGATCCAGCCACACCTAGACTCGTCTCCATGAGGAAGTTTAGAAAGCAAGGGGGTCCACAGTTTGAACGTCACGACTCGGCAGAGGGGTCTTCCCAGAGTCTTCAGTAGCATGAAGGAAGTCTGTCTCGTTTGACTAGAAGGGACCATTCCTTAAATACTGTTGCATCCTAATGCTTATCCCATATGGTTTGTCTGAATTCAGGGGAAGACATTAAGTCTTCAGTTATTGCCAACTCATTAACATGGTTTTTTTAATTTGTATTGCTAATACAAATTAAGACCTCATCCCTGCTGCCACAGAAATCTGTGATTACACAGTGTCCCAGAAAAGATTCGTTTGCCCAGCAACAAGGGTCTTGTGAAAGTTAAGACTGAATTTCTGTGAAGTTTCGTCCTCTTCAAGGTTCTCTGTTCCCAGATCAATGAATAAGCTATATTTTTTTAAATAAGCTTTAATATGTGGTTTTGCTTTACTTATGGAAATGTAAAGTTTTGTAAACCAAGCTACCACAGCACTCTAGAACAGTACTCCAGAGTGAATACATAGGCCCAGGGATAGAAGAAGTGCTTTTTTAGGCTGATAAATCAGATTAAAGGGATCAGCATGACTTTTTAAAAACTATTTCTAGTGGAGCTCTACATTGAGAAAGTGAACATATGTGTGCACATAAATATGTACATTAGAGTAGGAGGAGAGGACTGTCAGCCAGGTTTTTTTCAGTCCTATATTTTTCTGCTTTAGTGCCAAAGTTCATCAGGTTCTTTCAGTAAATATACTTTAGTCCATCTCTCCCTCCACCCCATTTACCCTCCAGAGGGATACTGCTGCCAACTCAGTATAGTGAGTCCCCTTAGCTGGAGCTGGGGCAGAGAATGCCCCATGAACTTTGCAAAGAAGAATGCCTGGTTATAACGACAAAAGAATGCAGCAGAAAATGTAATTAGTTAACTGAACAGTAGATGCACTGTGATCTGCCATCAATGAGCTAGAAAATGGGTTTCTGTTCTCTGGCCTAGTCCATCAATAATACTGGTAAAGCTTACATGCAAAACTATCTGATGCATTTCCAAATGTGAATTTTCATGTGATTTTGCATTAATGGTGTCCCTTGCGAGCTTGTTACATTCCAAATTTGTTTTATAGTTCACAAGCCTATCAATGAATTAAAAAATAAACTACCTGTCTATGTCTTCTGGGAGATCTTTCAGGTTGTTGCTGCTAATATCCAGCCACTGCAAATTAGACATCCGGAGTACACAAATTGGAATAGAATGGAACTTGTTTGCTGACACATCCACAACTGTGACTTGTTTCAGGTTACTTAGCTAGAAAGAAGTGGTGCTTTATTTTAGTTACACTTTGCAAATACAAGAAGACATTTCATTCATCAAACATTCTTATTCCTTTCAAAGCACTTAGAAAAATAAGAATTGCACAATTTTTTTTACTCATTTTTTCCCGTCTTATCACTTAGTCATAATTTTATAGGAAAAAGGATTTTAGAAATAACTACCTCTGAAAGTGTTCATCACCTCTCTAATATTGTCATGGTATTGAATGACATTTTTATTTTGAAAAACACTATAGTTTCAGATGACATCGAGGCTGGAACCAGACAATACCAGAAAATACAGTTTTGACAATTAATAGATGTCAGCTTACCATTCTCAAAATCAGAGATTTTATAACTCCCATCAAAAATATGTAGATTTTCATTGCTATAATTCTATTATGCACAGAAAGAGAATATATTGCTAGAAAACCCCTAGAAAATGAAACTGTCAATTTAAGCCATAAGAAAATCAGTTCAGTATTTTTCAAAGATCTTTAAAAATACATGTTCCATATTGCAAACTAAATATATTATAAAGTGCACTGGAGTTTTTTATTGGAATAATTTTCAAAGGAATACATTTTTAGATAATAAACCTTCAGCACAACGAAGGTTAACTACAGATGTAAAATACACCTGTTAAAGAAATAAATGTGTTAAATAAAGTTCTCTGTGTACTGAATCAATTATTCACACTATCAGTGTTCATAAAACTATATAGCTAGCTAAGGAGAATGTCTAAGAAGTATAAATGTAAATCGGAAAAAGTACTTTAACTTTGAAATTATGTCTCTGTGTTTCTAATCGTATGTTACCAACAAAATCTATAGGTCCTGATACAGAAGAAAAGTAGCAGAAAAATTTTATTGGTCTTTGCCTGAAGGTTTCTTAGAATGTAGAATATAATTAGGAACTAAAAACTGCAAACCAAATATATTTTACACTTCCAAAGTGAGCAAAATGCAAGCAATCGCATAAATTATAAAAAAATTAGAAATTTATAAAATACCTTGGGAATACTTCAGAAGGATTTTTTATTATTTATTAGGAATCAATTCCTGTTTTGTTATATTTTATGCCCAGACTTCTTGTTACTGTAATACTTTAACATTAATTTGACCCTTGCCATTTAAAATGCTCATATCCAGGTTGGTGCTGTGTGAGAGCTAGTTTGCTGTAGTATTTTCTAGAATTTTTTTTGGTTTGTGGGGTATGGGAGTTTTAGTTTGCGAGGGGTCGATTTTTTCAAAATATAACCTCATACTGCTGCCAGAATTTAAAATTTGGGGAAATGGTTTCAGGGAGAGTTGCTGAAGTTATCATATTACATATGACTACACAATTAAGCATAATAGATGTTCAGAGTTTCTCAAGTCAGAGGTATAGTTTTGAAATCTGCTCACCACTGCCTTTATGGTGAGGCACGACTATTTCATTCCTGATTCAAAGCAGGGAAGCATACATTTATTTTGGTACTTCTCAGGTCCAAAATATTTTGCCATTTTGAAGACTGACTACTAGCAATGAATACTTACTCCTACACTGTAAATTTTCTACATACCAAATCCTTTTTCCAACAAAACTAAATGTCCTTTTGAATAAGGAAAAAAAGTTGACTTTTCCTGATTGTAGCAATGAGACAAGAGAGAAAATAATTGGTATTATCTCTACATTGCATTTATCCTGTGATTTCAAATTATTATCACAATTCCAAATCCCAAGCAAATATTTCAAATTTCTCTGCATTTAAAACAACTTGCTAAAACTGCTGACATTTTTCTTTCAAACTCTCTCCAAAAGGAATTTAGCAGGCACAGAACTAAAACAAAGTCCCACATGCTTAAATGCTGCTCAGAATGTTCTCAAACCACTCCCAAAGTACAAAAACAATGGTCTCTAAACAGCAGGTGAGATATTATTTTACAATAAACCAACATCACTGTTCTCTTAAGTTCTTAAACACTTTCCTTCCAAGTGCAATTACCTGTTACACTGAAACAATTCGGTAACATTAATACTAGGTGGTAAAATTATTTTTTCAACAGCAGTAATTAGTTTTATATTTTTTTCCTGAAAGTGCTTTATTGCATTAAATACTAAAAGTAACATTAATATAGCAGCAATTTTTTTTAATAAACAGAGTTGCTTCTGCCATTTTTTAAACAGTTTTGAAAATAGATTTTTTTAATATTTGATTAGGTGAAAACCTACATTTTTTCAGGAGTTTGTACTCCCATAAAAACATACCAACAAAATATAAAGCCATGGACTCTCTTGATATAAAGTTTCATTCAATATGACATGGAGTATATGGAGCCATGATTATTTTGTGCAAGCTGCAAGTTCTCAGTACTTCTTCTTTTAGGGTAATATTTAACAAAGCCAGTCCATTTTCTACAGTATGTTGAAACCTAATGGAGTTTTTATGTAATCTGTCTCTGTTACGTTACCAACAAACACCTATGATATACGATGCACTGGAAATTATGGCAGCTATGTATTATATTTTCTAAAGTAAACCCTGTGCATTTTATTTCTTCTTGAAGGACTGATGGATTTTTGCACCTTTTGTAACATTTCATTTTCAAATGAGCATGACTCCCTTATCATTTTTAAGTTATAATTTATTTTCACTTGATGTTGGTTTTTGTCATTTTCCTTTATTATGTGACTTTAAATCAATCAGCATATAAGCTTTATGCAAGTTCCATTTTAAAGAATAGCTATATTTGATAGTCTAGCTACCTGTACCCAGTTATTGTGGTCTTTATGTTTAATCACTGTTGTCATTTTTATTTGAGAAACTGCCCCATTTTGCTTATCTTAATAAATTTGTTCATAGAAATAATCCAGATAACATTGTAGAACTCCAGTGCTCCTCTTTACTTCTGACAGCTAAACCTTCAGCTGAAAGAAAAGGACACCATGTCCTGGGCTGAACAAGTTATTTGATTAATGGGTATGTTTTTATTTCTGTTCTGCATTTTGTCATAAAGGGATTTACTGATAAAGGTGCAATCAAGTTTATCTTGAGTTGTCTGCTACTTAGCACCAACAAATGAAAAGGTGTAAAGTCATGTCAAACCTTACCACAAAAATACCATGTTTTTCAATTACATACAAACACTGTGTGGCAGAAACAGCATCCCTTCAAAGTCAGTGTATGATAACATATACAAAGGATTAACCTGGAAATGTCTATCAGTGCATTGCAAATGTGCTTTTGCCCAGAAATTTCAGACTCAGTGAATTCAAAGAAAATTTGTACCATTTCAGTAGGATCAGTTTATCATATATGTCGTCTCCCAAAACACATAGATGGGCACTTGGCATCTCATTAGCTTGCTGAAAGCAGTATGGTATGTATGACAAAGGAGCACCCTAGCTTCAAACTGCACAGTTGCTTGCTTAAACCTCAAACATTCAAACCAAATCTCCACTTTTTCTTTCACAGAGCTCTAAGTGCAACCTCCTCTGTTATCACATTGACATTCCTGGAGAAAACCATCAATTAAAGAAATAGGATATGAGCATCTTTAGAGGAAGAAGATATTTTTAATGAAGGTATACTTGTGTATTTATAGCCCAGTCTACCACTGAACTTCCAAGCTGGACTCTTAAACTTGAGGAGGCAATGGCATTTGTCAACTCCTACCCCTTAGTAACAGGGTATTCATTCACATATGTAGTGGCATACCTCTCTGTGATATTTAACCTGAGGATTTGAGACGTGCTGAATGCAGGTGTTTGCCTATCTATTGTGCAGACACTGAGGATGGAGATCAACAAGGCCTGCACAGTGAGAATCAGCCAAAGGAGGGAGGCTTGTGGTGCCAGGACGGCCCTGTTTTGGTTAAGGAACAAGGCCGAACGGAGACTAACGGTGTGAACATCATCCTGCAAACAGATAAGCTGCTTCAGAACAAAATTCTGAAGGCCACAAGGCCCAGAGTGAAATTTTTTCCCTTAATATCCCTATACAACTGTAGTCACCAACTTTTCACTCAAATCATGCCAAATATCACCCTGGAGCAGGGGAAGATAATATATAAGAAGCATGGACGGAATATGTCAAAGGAGGGAGAAGAATCCAGAAGAAGCAGTCCACGGGCTGTGCTCCTTCTCTTTCACCCAAGACAGGGACACCTTCTTGGTAAGAATTGCACTTCCAACTTCTGGTGAGTAATACTCAGGAGAGTATTTTGCTAGCATTATTATTATATATTAGCACTATTGTAGAGAGTGAATTTATCAACAACTCCGAATCTTGTATCTGTCAATGTAATAAATTATTTATTCTTTGTTACCTCGCAAATTGTCTCAGCGAAAGTCCTTAATGGGGCTCTGAAACAAGCAAGGGCTTAGCTAGAGTATGTGTCTTTCAAAGCCACATACCTTTCATGCAACACACTCCAAAGTGTAAAAATGCATGACTTCAAACAGCTTATCCTTTGGTGGACAAGATAAGCTAAATCCACGAAATGTATATGGAAGCAACTCTTCACCCAAATTATATTATTATGATTTTTTAATCTAAATCTGTTGTAACATTAATCCACAAACAGACAATTTTATTCTGATGGCAAACTATTTACCTGGAAGTTTATTATTATCCCTTTTCATCTTTGGCTTATGGCTGTCATTCAAACACCTTATGTTTGAAGTCTAACAGGATAGTCATGGCTATCTAAGCGTGAAAAGTTCATAGAAAGAGGCTTGGCTTTTTATTAGAGCAATTTTTTGTATACACAAATTTTTCATGAGGTCATAAAGAAATGGGAAAACTGGCTGCATAGGATCAAGGAATCATAGGATGTTAGGGGTTGGAAGGGACCTCGAAAGATCATCTTATGCAACCCCACCTACCAGCGCAGGACCACACAGGAACGCATCCAGGTCCAGGCGGGTTTTGAAAGTCTTCAGCAAACCAGACTCTACAACCTCTCTGGGTAGCCTGTGCCAGTGCTCTGTCACCCTCACAGTAAAGATGTT